AATGTAAAGTATAAACGTTGATACAAATAATTTCTGCGTAGTTTGTTCTGTCAAATGAAAGTTTTCAAATACAGTCTCTGATTAGGATGTACATGGCAGCTGATATATGATTTACACTGTTCAAAGACGAATATCAATGCATTTCTTTTATTCTAGTATAAAACGATTTCATCACCTCTGGAGGAAACATATTAAACTTGCTTCAAACATAACTGATGAACAAACACTAATAACAAAGAGTGAATAGTCATTTTGTCTGCGTCCATATGTTTGAGAGCATTGTACCCTTAGAGTGGAAGGAGATGAGGCAGTCACACAGAGGCCATTTGTCCACGGACTCGTTGAGGATGACGTCCTCTGGGAAGATGACCACAGTGATGTACTCGAACCTGCACAGCCTCTCCAGGATCTGGGTCATGGGCTTGGACTTGGACTTCTTCATCATGCAGCAGATCCCCACCACGATCTGTCGCTCCGGAGGCTAAGGAGGGGGTGAGGGGAAGGAGACACTTTAATGATCTGTCTGCGGGTAGAAGAATACAATGGCAGCTTTGTCCCTCTGGTTAAGTCTTTTCTGAGAGACATTCACTGACAACAACAAACGGACTCTAATAGGAAATGTTGCACTAAACCTTCTACATCCACATGAATCGGGGTGGCAGCATCACGGTGATTGATAATGATCCGATGTTTAACCTACATGAACAGTTTAAACCTCTGCTCTGTTCACATTTTCAACTCATTTCATTTGTATGTCAACATAGTTGGTTTCAATATATAAGAATTGACTGATTCTTTTGAGACCGTTATACCTGTAGGTGGCAGTAGTGCTAAATTTATGGACAACTGAACTATGAACTGTAAAGAGCAGCGTGGCTAGCTAACTAGCTTTTTGAGCATATTTTATCATGATGATTCTAAAGATATTTTTTATTCACAATCAGCCTTAAAAAATAAAGCAGATGCTGATATTTATTTGTGAATCGTATCTGAACTGTTCTAACACCATGGAGGTGACCACATGCACAGATCCATCCATGTATTGAAATCCATTGTCACTGAATTTCAACTAAAACTGAAACAAACACAATAAGTTTGTAGATAAGGAATCTGATCTCCGACCTGCTGCATGTGAACACATTAACCTTGTTGCACGGTCCTGATCAAAAGCACAACAGAACCGCGTTCAGTTTCATCATGGAGCACAATGTTAACTGAAACTCTGCTGGTGACTCATCTGCAATGTTATTCACTGACAATCGGACACTTTCCAGATAACACCAGACGTTCTCACCGATAGCTACACATACAAACAAAGTCTCCCACCGAGTCTGTGTCTTCGTCGTCCTCATACAGCTCCATGTCTGTCCTCATGCTGTCCTCCAGGGCCTCGCTCTCATCGTCCTCGCAGCCCACGAAGAATCTGGGAGCGCCACGCCGGCTCTCGCCCGGGCTGTTGGGCTCTGACATCACAGTCCCCCGCGGCAGCCCTCAGCATCCCACCGCGCCATCGTACACCAACACACCGCCGGAGCGGGCCGCCGATGGGAGGGCACGAGGCCTGGGGAGAGGGACGGGTCCACTCTGCCGGGGCTGGACTGTAGAGCCGTGAGGTAAAGGTGCGTGAGGCAGACGAGCACGATGAGACAGAATACGGGAGGGGGGGCTGCAACAGAGGAGGTTATGTGAGAAATGATGGTGAAGGTCAGTCCTCGACAATGACGTCGTTACTCAAGTTTCTCATTCAGCATATTCACATCTCACATCATTGGCTGAAGATCCAGTTATCTGTAGACAGTCCGTTCGTCCATTTGAAGACAAGCCAGAGTCCTGCAAGAGAAACAAAACATTCAGCTTATTTATACAATCTGGACTCAGGACTATTGTTCACTTGCTCAGTTTCAGTGAACTGGCTGGCTTCTACAGTTTCATCTACACAAAGCCGTTATCAAAACCCTGCATCACCATTGTGACAGCTCTAATCTAATGAGCTGAGAAATCACACAGTCCAGGTTGGGTTTTAACAAACCAAACGGGAACATGAAGACTGCGAGAGCTCATTTTATTTTTTAATTTCCTAGATCAGCTCACATGTTAAGTCTATAAAATGAAAAAACTCACATCCATCACAGTTTTCCTCCTAAACAAAATGTGATGTTTTGTCCCAAAACCTAAAGTATTATCAAATCTAAGCAAAAGACAGAGAGGCAGTAGATGTGTACACTCAGAATGTTTTTTATCCCTGCAGTCCAAGCATTTCTCTCTTTAATCCCCCAGTTCATTCCATCCATGCAACTACACTGTAAAACAGGATTTGGGAGGGTGGCAACAATCCATGCAGATGATTTAAAATTGACTTTGTTTTAATGTCTGATATCAGGGGGACAGATCGCTGGGAGACATCATTGGAAGTTCATTTTAAAAGGTTGAACTGTCGGTAAGTGAGGTTTGCAGCAGAAGTACAGTATGTGCATGTTGTCTTTTACACAGGACGAAGCGAGCAGGCGTGTTAGTGGGTATTCGCTGCACGGAGCTTCCACAGTAACAAGCTGTTGTGTTGCCAGGTTAAAGCTGCGTTTCCCTCTGTGGTTTGTAGGTTTTCCATCGGAGCAGACGTTTGAACGGGTCACTGACACTGTCAGGTCTGTTTTGATGAGGAGCAACCTCAGTGTAAAAGAGGGAAGAGGCGGGAAGTGAGGTTGGCAGGAGAATCGTGTGCAGGCGTGTTTTTAAAAACAAAGTTAACAGAGATGATTCGTGATTATTTGAACCGGAGCATTTGCTGGTTTTAAAGTTCAGAGCAGCACATGCAACAGACTGTTTCTCTTCTTCCCCTCTCCTGTACGTTGACACATTCAAGTACCAACAAGGACAAAACCTACCATGTTCAGTAACGTGTAGAAAATGAAGCTGAAATTTAAATATCGTGTTGGTATGTTACATGTTGAACCTCTGTATTTTCTCCCCGCCCCCTCAGGCCCACTCCACCTTGCTCTTCCAGCTAAAATCAACTCATTCATTGGTTCTCACTGAATCTGTTGTTACCAGCTCCAGCACTGCCAGACCTGTCCAACAACTATCTGTGGGACACGTCTGTTTGTAACTTTTAGGAATGTAGGTTTCCAGAGACAAACAAATACATGGACTTGTGTTACCTGAACCAAAGACCCTCACCTGAGTAATATTATGGGAGTCATATGCATGATAAAAAGAACATTCCAGAGAATGACGTCATGGATTTCAAAGCTTCCGAGCTCGAGTCAGTTGGAGATGTATTTGTGGGGCATAGGTTAGGATTAGGTTAGGTTTTGGAGTTAGTGTTGAGAATGACTTAATCCAAACCCTACAGATGATCCTCTTTTGGCGTGAAAAGTGATGCCATATCCTGCCATCTATTTTGAGAAGAGCAGTAATCCTTCCTGCAGGAAAGTATCCCCACAACATGTTGCTGCCTGACACCCCGTGCTTCACGGCTGTCATGGTTTTCTCCCCCTCATAACCTGAAAAGCAACTCAGCAAGGAAAAAGTCGGGCTATCAGAGACATTTAGGACTCTGTGTAAAGGACTTTGTTTCGAGTGGATTTGAATGTCGGGGCTTCCGGACACTTGATGACATCACAGGAGCAGGATGGAGGTTATGTTTCTTCTGTTGTTTTATTACGTCTAAAGAACCATGAAACTCCAGAAGTGTTTTGTGGACTCAAACACTTTTCTCAACAGAACTGTTTGTGCACCATCTACACACCTGAAGAAAGGAACCTTAAAGGAACACTCACGTTCTAAATAACCATTCAAGGCTGCAACTAACTGTGACTTTTTGGATCATTAATTCACTGTGTCTATAAAACATCCAGCGTGGAGGATATCCTCAGGTTTTTCTCGACCAGCTGATTAGTCAATGAATCTGCACCAATTTCTGTCATCATTAGTTTTCACGCATCCCAAAGTTATATTCTGAGGCAGGGGAATTTAAAAACATATCTTTGGGATGAAAAACATGAAACTATTCACCTCTCATTCAAAGCAAAAGACATTAGACTCATTGATAATGAAAATACCATCACTCTACAAAAGCTGTCTAATCTACGTTTTTAAATCAAATGTAGGAGTGGAACTGATCTGACTTTCAGTAGAAGGCCTGACCGCAGAGTTTCCAGAATCACATGTTAGTACCTGCTACCTGGGAAGTACGACGGTTCACTGTGGACCCATCAACCCATCAACAATAAGAGTACTGTAACTGACCGGAGACGTTTCACAGTCAAATCAGACACAACGGAGTTCATTTAGTTTCGTGAAACTGAGATTTTTTAAAGCATGCTCACTTTGCATCAGTGACTGAAACATTTCACACACACGTATATGTTGGAGCCATTTTATTATATGAGCATTTTGAATGCAGCTGACCAGCTCATGAAGAAGAACTGACACAGGAAGTTAAGTTGATGATCTATAATTATCGTTATTAATTATTATATCTGTTATTTGACTTCTTTGAACTTTCTGTAGGTTGAGCTGCCTTTGATCTGAACCAGACCTAAGGTTCCTCACATTCACACAAACATTCATCCGCCTCATCTAACGGGACACGCAACAAGACACACACACCTCTGACTGGGTCCACGAGGGAGGGAGGGCCGACAGCCATGGTAGTACAAATACATGACACTGTACTGCTGAAACAAATACTGAGAAAGTACATCACATTCCCTCCAGTGGTCTGAGCTCTCTCTCACACACACACTAAACACACACACACACACA